GATCCCAGTTGCTAGGTTCCGTCGAACCCAGCACTGGGTTCGATGGAACCCAGTGCTGGGTTCCAGCGAACCCAACAACTGGGTTCGACGGAACCCAGCAAATGGGTTCCGTTCCTGCCGAGGAAGAAGAGGAAGAGAGAAGAGGAAGAAGAGGAAGAAAAAGAGAAATGAAGAAGAAGGAAGTTTTTTATTTTTTATTTTTAAATATAAATAATGTGAGTTGGCATAAAAAAAAATCCACATCAACACGTTTTTAATTTGCTTTTGCCACGTCATCAAAAAAATAATAAAAAATGCCACATAAACGAGTTAACGATCGAAATTAACAGAAGGACTAACGGAGTGCATTTCTTAGAGTTGAGGGAACAAAAAAGTGCAAAAAATTGTTGAGGGACCAAAAATGTGCAACTCACTAAAGTTGAGGGACCAAATTAAGCATTTAACCAATACAAAAATGACTTTTCTTTTGAATCTTTGTTGCACTTTCTGTATATCTTTGTTTACAACTGTTGGATAACACCTTAAGCGAAATAATCTTACACACGTTAACTGTAAAACTTTCTAAGATTCTGCACATTCCAAAGGTAAGGTAACTGACGCCCGTATATATCTGCTAACACGTAAGAGCCAGGTCGTTTAATTTGAACAACCATATAGGGGCCTTCCCAATTAGGAGCGAGCTTGCCCATGTGCGAATAGGTGTTAGTTAATCCAGCTTTACGTAGGATCAGGTCGCCGACCTGAAACTGGCGAGCTCGAACTCTTTTATTGTAAAATTTTGCAACACGACTTTGATGCGCCATGTTTTTTATTCTAGACATCTCCTTGACCTCTTCCACGAAGTCTAGGTTTTCTCTCAGCAATTGTTCATTATTGAGATCGTCATGCCCGCCTGCTCGATCAGATGGCAATCCAACTTCTACTGGGATGACGGCCTCAGCTCCATAGGCTAGGCTAAAAGGGGTTTCGCCTGTGGCCGAGCTGGGTGTAGTACGACATGACCACAGCACTTTATTGAGGTCGTCAACCCAATTAGTATGTGCAGCTAAAACACGCGTCTTGAGTCCCCGCAAGACGATTTTATTAGCGGACTCAGCTTGCCCATTGGACTGTGGAGTGTACACAGATGTCAAGGCGAGCTCAATACCATAATCGTTACAAAACGACCTCAGTGCTGCTGCTCGGAACTGTGACCCATTGTCGACAATAATCCGCTTAGGTATGCCGAACCTGCACAATATTGAATTGAACAAGAATTCTTCTATTTTTCTTTCCGTTGTCATGGACAGTGGTTTAGCTTCGATCCATTTAGTGAAGTAATCCACTGCAACGACCAGGAAAGTGCAGCCTCCTTTGCCTTTGGTGAAAGGGCCGAGCAGGTCGACACCCCACTGAGCAAAAGGCCAGGGAGACGTAAGAGATGATAGCATTTCCCCTGTTTAAAAGAATGTACTTATGCTCAGTTCATAGACAGTCACCAAGTTAGCATAAACTATAGAACGAGCTCGGGTACCTGGCATGTGAATATCATCAGCATTGAACTGGCAGGTCGGGCACTTTTTGACATAGTTCTGTGCGTCCTCGACCATAGTGGGCCAGTAATAGCCATGCCTTAGGAGCTTCCGAGCTAAAGTTCTGCCACCGATATGCATGCCACATACTCCTTCGTGAACTTCTCTCACAGCGTATTCAGCTTCGTAAGGGGTAAGGCAGCGTAATAGGGGCATTGAGGTTGCTCGTTTGTAGAGCTGGTTATCTAACAAAGTGAAATGTGCTGCCCTTCGTTTAATCAATTTCGCAATGGACATATCTTCAGGCAGCTCGCCGCTTTGTAGATAATTTATGAGTGGGGTAGTCCAGCTCGGTGTAGAGGGATCTGTACTGAGTAGTTGACAGTCGACTGTGAAATCAGTGTAACTTGGTGCGTCGAGCACCTCGACGATTGTTGATCTTTGAGGGTTAATGTCCTGCGAGGAGGCCAACTTTGACAGCTCGTCAGCTCGGTGGTATTTTGTCGATCTGAAATGAAGCGAACCTTGCCTTCAATAGGTTGACCAAAGAGGCATAACGACTGAGCTGGGGATCCCTGATGTCGCAACTGCCATTCACCTGGCGGACAACAAGCTGAGAGTCGCTGAAGACCTGAATGCTTTGTACCTTCAGCTCGGCCGCCAGCTTCAGTCCATATATAAGGGCTTCATATTCTGCAGCGTTATTGGTTGTCTGAAACTTAAACCTTAATGCGTGCTCAGACTTGAAGCCATCAAGGCCCAGTAACACAGCTCCAGCACCTGATCCTTCAACATTAGCGGCTCCATCTACATACAAAACCCAAACTGGGTATTCAGGTACCTTTTCTTTGACAGCCGCCGGGGCACATTCAACTAGGAAGTCTGCCACAGCTTGGCCTTTTATAGCCGTTCGCGGCTGAAATTTAAGGTCATACTCACTCAGTTCGACACTCCATCCGATGAGCCGACCAGAGAGCTCTGGCTTCTGCAATATTTTCCTTAGCGGGAAATCAGTATAAACAACAATCTGATGAGACTGAAAATAAACTCTCAGCTTACGAGCTGTACAAACCAAAGCAAAAGCAGCCTTTTCTGCGAGCGGGTAGTTCTGCTCGGCGCCTTGTAACACTTTGCTCACGTAGCAGATAGGCTTCTGATGTTTATTTTCTTCCCTCAGTAGTACTGAACTCACTGCTTCTTCTGTGACCCCTAGATAAAGGTATAAACATTCTCCATCGACAGGCTTGGACAACAAGGGTGCGGATGCCAAATATCGTTTGAGCTCGTCAAATGCCTGTTGACATTCATTAGTCCACTGGAAGTTCTTAGGCTCCCGCAGAGCTTTGAAAAACGGAAGGCACCTTTCTGCCGATCTGGCTATAAACCTGTGCAACGCAGCGACACGGCCCGTCAAACGCTGCACGTCTTTGACAGTCCTTGGTGGCTCCATCTGCTGAACGGCCGCAACCTTTTCTAGATTTACCTCAATTCCTTTCTTGGATACTACGTATCCTAGGAATTTTCCCGACTCTACAGCAAATGTGCATTTCAAAGGATTCAACTTCATTTGTGCTCGGCGCAAATTTTGAAAAGTTTCATCCAGGTCGCCAATGTGATCCTCAGCTCGCACACTGGTGACTATCATGTCATCTACGTACACTTCTATGTTCCTGCCGATCTGGAGCTTAAAGACGATTTGCACCAGCTTCTGGTATGTTGCTCTAGCATTCTTGAGGCCGAACGGCATCATGACATAGCAGTAAATTGCGTCGCCAGCGTAAAAAGCTTTTTTTTCTTGGTCGTCTAGCAACAACTGGACCTGGTGGTAACCCGAGCTTGCATCAAGAAAACTCATCCTTTCATGTCCGGCTGCCCGTTCTACTAACTTTTCTACGTTTGGCAACGGGTGAGGGTCTTTTGGACATGCGTCATTGACATTGGTGAAATCAATGCACATCCTCCATTTGCCGTTTGGCTTTTTGACCAGCACAGGGTTGGAGACCCATTCAGAGTATTCCACTCTTCTGATGAAGCCTGCCTGTAACAGTTTTTGGATCTCCTCGTCAATGGCAGCTTGCTTCTCAGGGCCAAAGAGGCGACGCTTTTGCACCACCGGCCTTCTGGCGGGGTCTGTACTGAGCTTGTGGACTGTCAATTCTGCCGGGATGCCAGGCATTTCATCCGTAGTCCACGCAAATACGTCCTGATTAGTCCTTAGGAATTCTAGAAGCCCTCCCCGCTCTTCTTTTGTGAGTTTAGTGCCGATCTTCACTGTTCTCTCTGGCACATCCGGGTTTAAAGGCACCGTTTCCACTGGCTCTACTGGCTCTGCCTTCTGCTCAACGCTCTCAGGTCGATGCTCAATGTCTGATATACTCATTGTCTGTTGACCGAGCTGGGTTGGCCTTCGACCTTCAACACTCGTGGGGGTTGCGGCGAGCTCGACCTTTTTGAACGTGTCTTGATAACAGGCTCTAGCCATCTTTTGATTCCCCTTCAGCACTCCTACCCCCTGAGGAGTTGGGAATTTCATGCAGAGGTGGGGTTGCGAGATGACAGCCTTCAGCTCGCATAGGGTGGCTCTTCCTAGTATAGCGTTGAAAGCTGATTCCATCTTAATGACCAGGAAGGTGACGGAAGCCATCCTGAAGCGTGGTTCTGAGCCCACATATATAGGAAGAGTGATAACTCCCTCAACCGGGACGGGCTGGTTATCAAACCCGTATATTGGCCCTTCGTGCTTCTGCAGCGAGCTTGGATTTAGCTGCATCTTCTGGAAGCAACTCCAGTACAGGATATCTGGCGAACTGCCAGTGTCAATGAACACCTTATTGACATTATGATTGCCTATATGAACTGTTGCCACAAAGGGATCGGCATGGGGCATCATAATATCGGGTTCTCCTTCTGCTCGCTTGTAATCTGCCGGGCTGAATGTGATGGGCGTATTTTCCCATTCTGCTTCCTTAAACGGCCGTTTCAAGGGTTTGTTTTTGTTGACGGTCATCACCTGTCGGGCATATGCCTTGCGAGCTCGGGCGCTCGGGCCCCCTGAGTGAACACCACCCGATATCATGTTTATTGTACCAGAAGGTGGGAGTATCCCAGCATAACCCACCCCTTTCCTGTCTTTTTGATTCGGGGCGGTAGTTCTCGGTCCCTGCCCTCTCCTGTTGAAAGGACGTCCTTGGTATGCTCTGCCCTGTTCAGAAGGATACTGGTTATCCTAATATGCATCCTGCGTCCCTCCATGCTGGTACCTCTGTCCTTGAGGTCGGTCGTACGCCTGTACAAAATGGGTTTGAGTGAGTTGCTGGGTGTGAGGCTTCTGAACATACCCTTCTAGCTTCCCGTTACGAGCCAAAAACTCTAACTCGTCTTTCAAGTGTTGGCAGTCCTCTGTATTGTGACCATATACACGGTGGTAGTCGCAATGCTTGCTCTTATCTGCCCTCGGGGAATCATGTAGTGGGGGTGGAGGTCTCCTAACCCAGTGCTGAATTTGTGCCAGGATTTGAGACCTAGGTAAGGTCAAAGGAATGTAACTGGCATATTTTGGGAACTCAGCTGGTTTCCCCCATTGCTCACCGACCTTCTGCTTCTTCTTCTCTTCTCTTCTCGGTTGTTGTTCCTGGCCTCTGCTCGGCTTATCATCAGCTCGTCGCTTGGACGACTGAAAGTCCTCTGACAGTATAAAGCTAGCCGACTTGTCATTCACCTCATTCCACGTCTTCGGTGGGTTTTCAAGCAGGTCGTCTAGGAACCGGCCACGCTTCAACCCATGCAATAGGGCGGACAGACAAATCGTGTCTGGGACATTATCAATGTCCAAGGTGGCTTTATTGAAGCGCTGCATGTAATCCCTCAAAGACTCCCCTTCCTTCTGGTTAACTTGCATCAGTTCAGTTGCTGTGCGCTTGATCTCCCTTTGGCTCGCAAATTTGTTAGAAAACAGCTTGGCGAGCTGGGAAAATGAATCTATTGAATGTCTGGGGAGTTTGTGATACCATCTTCTGGCCGTTGATTTTAGTGTCGCCGGGAACACTTTGCACATCATGGCATCATTGGCGTTTTGAATCCTCATGATGGCTTGATAGGTGTGTAAATGTTCATCTGGGTCTTTCGTGCCATCATATGTCTCTAGGTGGGGGATTTTGAATCCCTCTTGATATGGTTCTGCTGTGATGGACAGGTTCAGCGGAGCACTATCCAAATCCAAGGTCTGTTGATGCGACCTGGGGCTTTTCAGCTCGTCAATGGATTTCTGTATATCCCGCAGTTGCCTTTCAAGGTCCGCGTTCTTTTCAGCTCGTCAATGGATTTCTGTATATCCCGCAGTTGCCTTTCAAGGTCCGCGTTCTTTCTCATCAATTCTTCACTATATTTGGATGAGCTAGGCTCGATATTCAACTTCCCACTTCCCCTAGGCCTGGTCGACACTATTATATTGCTTAGAGCGGGGGAGTTTCTCGTTGCAACAACCGCAGCTGGTCGTGCATCCCTGTTCAGCAAAGGAATCAGGGGGTCATTAGGAATTAGGCGGGCAAGGATTTTACCCATCGCCATTTCCAGGATTCTGGTTCTCTCTTCGAGCTCGGTTGTCCAAGCAGGTTCTGTCGACCTTTCAGGTCATTCGCGCTGTGAATCGTGTGGCCTAGAAGGTTTTGATCTTGTTCCTATTGGAACCTGAAACTGTTCAGGCTGGGTTGCATACCCCGTTGGTGTTCTTTCATCATCATCTGTTTCGCTTAGGTGATCCTGTTCGGCTCCCCCTACAAAAAGGTTTCTCGGCATTGGTCTAAAATCATTCAGGCCGGGCTCAGATATGTGAGTATCCTCCTGTTCGTCCATTTCATTTCTTGGAGGGCGATCTCCTGTAAAGGTACAGACCATTTTGTCTTTCAGCAGGTTAAGTCACACAATTTTTTGTTCGAGTTTCCCACAGACGGCGCCAATGTTTCGGCAGCTTCACAATCCAACACTGTTGAAGTCTTCAGCTGCTTCTACACCTGAAAATCCCGAGGTTGTTTCCTCGGGGAAAACACTCCGACGCTCAAGTCAGCAATACTCAATATTCTAGAGAGAAGTGCTCTCAAGGAGTAATTGCGGAGAGAGAAGCGTAGAGATTGATTACCTTCATCGGAGGTAGCTGAGGGGTATTTATAGCCCCTTGGTGCTGACCTACATCCACACGTGTGAGCACCCCATTGGTCCACCTGGCACAGGTCACGTGAGTATGCTTGTACCGATGCTCCTTCAGCTTGGGCTGACAGATGGTAACCTAGGCCCGTTATGCATAGCCCAATACTGTTTAGGTGTTGGGCTGGGCCTATTCCAACACAGGTGATATATTCAAATGATATTCTGTCATTGGATCGATGTCCTTGCTGATGCACCTATAGAGAACAAGTTTGATTGGGCAAAGGCACTTTTAGCAAAATAAGGATTAAAAATGAGTTTAAACCTTTTGTATTTCATGAGGTGCCCTGTAAGCAAATTAATAGTGTAAAAGTTTAAGGATAAGCCTTCTCAAAATATAAATTGGGTTTTTTAAT